TGGACTGACTATTACAATTTATAGCAAGGATGTTGGATGGTGGACAATTCTAGGAAGCAATTAAAATAATCTTGAGTGTAAAGGATATGATTAAGTTCTGAAAATGAATTAGCCAGACATCATTTGTATTGCTTGAAAAAAATGAGATAAAAGGGATGTTAGAGTTTTGTATATTCCTCATAGTAACATATTGATCTAGGTAAAATGATTCAGGCTGCAGCAGGGAGAGCCCTACATGTAACCAATTTGTACAAAATGATAGTGTGCATGAAGAACTGCAGACGGCATAGACTTAAGGAAGCTTCACTGTGGGGTCTTAAACCAGACATGATGAGATTATACAGAATTTGCAGAGACCATATAACACTGTCTTTTAAACCATGTTGCACCTAGATGTTAGACACCAAACAATGGATTATGTGTAAATTGTGGTAAAGAAACATACTTTTTCAGGACTTTAGTGCATTGCAGTAGTAACCTTATGTTAGTGCATTGTAATGATAAGATGATAATTTGTTTTGTTAACCATTATGTTTTCATTAGCATTGTAGAACAGGATTTCAGTTTAGCAGTCTAAAAGTTGGGATTTCCTTTTTAATTTTCAGATAGTGAAATTTGCTTTCTTGCTTGCTGCTCTCCAAGACTCTCAGTAAGATGAAAACAAGCCCTTTTCCCTCTCTGCTCTAAGTATAGAGAGTTGTAAGCAGTTATGTTCTGGAACAACTGTGATCAGTTCATAACTCACAAATGAGTTTCAATTTAAAATCAGATATTTTTAAATGAACATCCAGTACCTAAATTAGGATAATGCTGTGGCATGTTTGTTTGAAATGTATTTTACACTCAACACTGGAATGCTGACTTTGACTGAGAGAGAATTTTTTTGGTATGAAGTTTTCAGTGGCTTAAAAAGGGAAACCTGAGAACAGATACCAAGATGCACTGTACTTGAGGATTTTTCTGCCAGCTATGATAGGTAAAGGAACAAGCTGCTTTACTGGGTCAGCTATAGCAAAGCTGTAAATAGTCATGAAACAAGGCACAAAAACTGCCCGAATAAAACCAAGGTCCTGCTATAATAAATTTCTGATAACCTGTTTGCTTATGTACCACAGAAAGCTTATATTCATGTGGAAACTGAACTGGGAAGTGCAACTTTGCTTTTAACGATGATTATTTTTCAAATTGTAACTCTTTTACAAGAAATTGCCACTCAAATCACCAATCTTTGAATGC